CCATGCGAGCCTCAGGGCGCGAGGGGCCGCTCATCCGGGCCTCCTGGCGGGGAGGCCAGCCAGGGGAGCAGGGAAGGGAGAGCGCGTCTCCTGTGTGTGCTTGTGCACACAGCCTGTGTGCAGCCTGTGCCCCCTCCGCTCCTCACCCTGCTCCTGACACACAGGGGCACAGCACCGACAGGGGCTCCTTGGGATTCTGGAAGGCTCCATGCCAGAGACCACATGTGAGCAAGATTCAAAGGTTAAGGGAGATTTCAGCGATGGAGAACTTGAGTGGAATTCTTAGGAAGTGCCGGGGAGCATGGTGGCACTTTGCCCGGCCCAGGGGACACGGAGGGGCCGAGGGGTCAGCGAGGGCTGAGAACTGGGTCAGTGTTATCTATGGCACCGGGGGGGGGGGGGGCAGCCAGCGGAGGAGCTCGGTTGGGCTTCCCAGCCTGGACTCTCAGGCTGTGCACCTCCCTTGCCCTGCAGCCTCCTGCCCAGCTAGGTGCCGTTCCCGCAGCCCAGGCTGCTGCCTGCTACCCGGCCCCATACTTGCCTCTTCTTCCTTTCTGACTCTTCCCCAGTGACTTCCTTCTGCAGTTTAGACTCTGCGGTGAGGCAGGGACCCGAGGGTGGGGGGCTGGCAGGGGGGCTGGGAGGAGGGGCCAGCCGTGAGACAGCGGCCGTGAGGGGGAGGAAGTGTACGGGGCCACGGTAACATTTCCAGTCCCAGTGCTCTCTCACTTGGTCAAACCACAGAAGCGGGTACCAGATTCTAGCCCCGGGTGCAGAGCAGCCAGTCCAGCGAAGGCTAGAGGGAAGAGAGGCAAGGGATGGGGCTTCCCCGTCCCCCGCCCGGCCTCCGCCAGATACCCGCAGCCTGGCTCCCCACCCAGCCCCAGGCCCACCCTCTTCCTCCTTGACCTTCTTCTTTGTGGTTCCCCCTTCCGCTAGGTGACCAAAAAGGCTGAATTCTGTCTCCTGGAATCACTACTGAAGCAGATGTCTGGGGACCCCAAGAGACACTGGACTTTGGCCTTAACAGGCTACCAGATAAAACTCACTTTCTAACTCTCTTGAGAGGATGGACAGCGGGACTATAGGGAGAAATATATATATATAATTTGGGTCCACTTGTGGGGCCTGAACTCTGGGTCTGAGCGCTGTCCCTCAGCTCTTCAGCTCAAGGCTAGCGCTCTACCACTTGAGCCACAGCACCAGTTCCGGCTTTTTTCTTTATGTGGTGCTAAGGAATCGAACCCAGGGCCTCATGCATGCAAGGCAAGCACTCTACCACTGAGCCACCTTCCCAGGCTGAGAAATATTCTAAGAAGCATTTCAAGCTGGGTGCCAGTAGCTCACACCTGTCATTCTAGCTACAAAGGAGGCTGAGATCTGAGGATCACGGTTCCAAGCCAACCCAGGCAGGAAAGTCTGTGAGACTCTTATCTTCAATAAACCACCAGAAGACTGGAAGTGGCGCTGTGGTTCAAGTGGTAGAGCGCTCGACTTGAGCTGAAGAGCTGAAGGACAGCACTCAGGCCCAGAGTTCAAGCCCCACTACCAACCAAAAAACAGAAGCATTTCCTAGGACTGAGCAAGGGTGGGAAAACTGGGCTTTCTCTCAAAGGGATTGAGCAGGGAAAAAGGTTAATTACCAAGTGGAAGGAAACTAGAAAGCTATACAAGGAAGAAAATATAGTTAGCCTGTCCATTTTGTTTGGCACTGCGTCACTTAGATGCTAAGAATAAGGAAAGGATCAAAACCAAAATTATGATATAGCTGTGCACATGGGGGGAGGGGGGAGAGACTGACAGCCTCATGGGAAGGTCAGAGGCCTCCTCTGGTCTGCCCTTCCCCCACCGCCAAGGCCACACTGCTGAGGGGGTTTCCAGCGGTCATAGGCAGCCCCTGGACTAAGGCCTCTGCTTGCCCTCAGAACATACTTTTCTTTTTTTTGGTTGTGGGGCTTGAATTCAGGGCCTGGGCACTGTCCTTGAGCCTCTTGCTCAAGGCTAGCGCTTTACCACTTGAGCCACTTCCGGTTTCTGGTGGTTAATTGGAGAGTTGCAGAGATTGTTTTGCCTAAGCTGTCTTTGAACCGAGATCCTTAGATCTCAGCCTCCCGAGTAGCTAGGATGACAGGTGTGAGCCACGGGCTCAGATACCAAGCTACTATTTCTTATTGAAGGTGTGGCTTCCAGTAATGTCCAAACAGAGCTACTTGATGGCGTCTCCAGGACTAGCGCTCACTGAAAGCCTGGGCTGGCCGTGACTGGGTTTCTGTAGGTGCTGCTCAAGCTCTTCTCTGCCTGGCGGAGGGCAGGGAGGTGGAGTCAGGCAGCATATCTGCGGGGTCTGACGTGGGGTGCTGGAACAGTGGTGAAACCTCCTCCTTCTCTTGGCCCTCCCCACCCCAGTGTTACAAGGCCTGGCACACAAAAGATGTATTCAGAACTTGAGTGGGGCTATAGCTCAGTGGTAGACCACTCGCCTAGCATGGGTGAGGCCCTGGGCTGCATCCTCACTACAAGTAAATAAGGCCGGGTTTGGTGGCTCATGCCTGTCACCCTGGCTACTTGAGAAGTTGAGTTCAGAGAATTGTGGTTTGAGGGACTCCCCCTCCCGGGGTATAGAAGTTCAAGAGACTCTGTCTCAGCAAATGGCTTGGTGTGGCAGAGTGCTGTTATCCCAAGCTGGGGGGTGGGGGGGGGTGTGCCCCCAGTGGCTGGGCACAGTGGCACTTGCACATGCCTATCATTCTACTGACGAAGTGAAATCCAAATCAGAGGACCACAGACATACAGTGAAAATAACCCAGAAAGGGTGTGGTGGAGTAGCTCAGGGAGCAGAGCATCTGCCTAGCAAGGCCATGAGTTCATCCCCCAGTTTGGCAAGGATAGACCAATAAAATTATGGGGTCTGTGTGTGTGTGGTGAATCTTTTCTAGACTTACAAAGACGTTTACTTCACCTTGAGTTTTCTGCTTCACTTTTTAACTTTTGAGCCTGGAAGAACAATTCATCTTCCTCGTCCCGCATGGACAGGTTTCCTGTCATTACCTTTATCTGCAGAGATGGGCAGGAGGGGCATCCCATGAGACTCCGCGTCTCTGCTGCTGCCGTGCTGCCAGTGGCACCAGAGAGAACACGACTTTGTTGTATTTTCTAAATTGCCGCTGAGAGCCACGCATTCAATCACACACAAGGATGTGATTGGGCTCGTGGAGCTGCTCTTGTGGTAGGGCACCACCCAGCACACCTGAAAGATGCATAAGTGAAGTTCACAAAACAAAACAACACACACACTCAGACACCAAAGGACCCAAGGCCGCTGTCTAGTTCGGGTTTTTGAGAGGGAGAAGGAAAGGAAAGTTGAAAGCAAGCTACTGGGACCACCATCTGTGTCAAAATTACAACACTGGCCACCTCTTCCCAACGCTTTTCCTTCCTCTCCCCGCTTCCTCTGAACCACCCTACACACCATCCCGGGCTTGGGCCGGGCCCAGGGGGCTCATGTCCAGGGAAGACATGATTTTTACCCAGGGGACTCCGAAACATGGGAACTTCTCTGCCCCTAATTTGCACCTGCGCTCCACAGGTCACCCGAGACGAGGACAGAGAGCACCCCGGCGTGGCTGCAGCGCTGGGGGTGGAGGGGACAGAAGTGGACTCACGAGTCTTCTGACTACTCTCGAGGCACTAGACCTTCACTAGCCGCCAAGAAGCCCAAGTGGTTTTAGCCCCAGCCTTCCCCGGGCCGGGCCAAGCCGGAGACGGCGGGCCCGGCCTGCCAGGACCCCCTCCCCAGCAGCCCGGGCTTCGGGGCCCCGGGGGATCGGTCCTGGTTAGGGCCCTGTGGTCACCGGGCGGGCGCGCGGGCTCCGCGGACGCTGCAGTGACCGGGCCCGGCCGCCCACCGCGGGTGCGGGGTGTGGGCTCCACGGAGAGGCCGGCCCGGGGAGAGGGGGCGCCTGGGTCCCCGGTGGGGAGAAGCTCTGAGAGGCGGGCCGGGCTTGGGCCGGGCCCAGGGGGCTCTGCCCTCCCTGCGGCCCCGCCGTAGAGATGGGGACACTGGGCCCGGCTGCGGGGCCGAGGGCGCGGCGGCCCGCGGGCTCGGGGCCTGCGCGGGCGGGCGGGCGGGCGCGGGGCCTGCGCGGGCGGGCGGGCGGGCGCGGGGCCTGCGCGGGGCCTGCGCGGGCGGGCGGGCGGGCGCGGGGCCTGCGCGGGCGGGCGGGCGGGCGCGGGGCCTGCGCGGGCGGGCGGGCGGGCGCGGGGCCTGCGCGGGGCCTGCGCGGGCGGGCGGGCGGGCGCGGGGCCTGCGCGGGCGGGCGGGCGGGCGCGGGGCCTGCGCGGGGCCTGCGCGGGCGGGCGGGCGCGGGGCCTGCGCGGGCGGGCGGGCGGGCGCGGGGCCTGCGCGGGGCCTGCGCGGGCGGGCGGGCGGGCGCGGGGCCTGCGCGGGCGGGCGGGCGCGGGGCCTGCGCGGGCGGGCGGGCGGGCGCGGGGCCTGCGCGGGCGGGCGGGCGGGCGCGGGGCCTGCGCGGGGCCTGCGCGGGCGGGCGGGCGCGGGGCCTGCGCGGGGCCTGCGCGGGCGGGCGGGCGGGCGGGCGCGGGGCCTGCGCGGGGCCTGCGCGGGCGGGCGGGCGGGCGCGGGGCCTGCGCGGGCGGGCGGGCGCGGGGCCTGCGCGGGCGGGCGCGGCGCGCACCACGCCCGACCCCGGGCCCGGGCCCACGAGGTGCGCGACCCCGCCCGGCCGGGGCCGCGAGGCCGCTCGCCTCCGCCCGGCCTCCTCCCTGCCAGCCCAGCGCGGCCCCACGCGCGTCCACACGGGGCGGGGTGGCCCACGCGCGCCGCACCCCGCGTCCCGGGCGGGGACACTTCCGGCGGCGGCGGAGGGCGGAACCCGGCGGCCCGGGCCCTGTCTCCGCGGGGCCGGAAGAGCGGCGGACCGGCTTCCGGGAGGCCGTGGCGCGCGCGCGTGCGGCGGGCCCGGCTCGGCGCGGCTCCCGAGGAGATGGGGAAGGTGCGGGGGCTGCGCGCCCGCGTGCACCAGGCCGCCGTGCGGCCCCGCGGGGAGCCCGCGCCGGGCGCCGCGCTGCCGGCCGCGGAGCCGGCCCTCCCGCAGGCCTCGGCGGGCGCGGCCGGGGGGAAGGTGAGGCCGGGCCGGGCCGGGCGGCGGGGTCCCGGGTCGCTCGCGGGGGTCCCCGCGCCAGGCCCCCCTGCGGGCCTCCGGGAGCGGAGCGGGGCCCGGGCGCGTGGCAACCCCCCCCCCGTGCGGGCCGCGGATCACACCCGAAGCCCTGCCCTGCCCCCGGGTTCCAGCTCCAGCCCCTCCGGCCGAGGCTTCGGCTGACCGCAGAGGGCTCTCCGCCCGCACGTCTGGTCCTCGGAGATGGGGGCGAGGGGCAGCCTTCCTGCGCTCGGCACCTCCGCCTCTTCCCAAAGGAGCTGAGCACAAGTGGTGTACTTTGAGGTGGTCAGACAAGAAGCCCGGTTTGGGCGTCTGTGCGGCCGAGGCCCGGCCCTCCGCCTTGGGCGGGCCTGGCAGGCCTGTGGGTGAGCCCCCCCTCCCCCCCGCAGCTGAGTGTCAGCAGTGACGCCTCGGTGTAAGCCTTGGTGGAGAGATGAATGTGGGCAGGGAGCGAGCCCTGGAGCCCAGGGAGGTCTAGATGCCATGGAGCAGCGCAGCAGTCCCAGCCGGCTGGCTCCCCAGCAAGGGGCACGAGGTTGGCAGCCGGGGACAGGTCGCTCCTCCAAGGCCTTCCTGTCAGAGAATCTGAGCGGCCTGAGGCTGGACACATTTTCCCTGCTGAGCCAGTAGCCTTGTGTGTTGCTTGGGGTTCGCAGCTGTCCTGATGTCTTTCCTTTGTTGCGGCCTTAGGACTGGGCATTCGTCCATACGGACATCTTTGCCAAGACTCAGATAGACCCCGGGGCCTTGGTGCAGAAGCTGGAGCTGGACCAGAAGAGTGTGGTCTCCCTGAAGAGAGGTAAGTCCCTGGCTAGGACAAATGAGGGGCCTCTGCATCTTGGTGCAGACTGCAGCCTAGTTCCAGGTAGCTCATGCAGTTAAAAACCTATTGTTTTGGGGCTGGGAATGTGGCTTAGCGGTAGAATGCTGGCCTAGCATGTGGGAAGCCCTGGGTTCGATTCCTCAGTACCACATAAACAGAAAAAGCCAAAAGTGGTGCTGAGGCTCTTATGGTAGAGTGCTAGCCTTGAGCAAAAGAAGCCCAGGGACAGTGCCCAGGCCCTGAATTCAATCCCAGGACTGGAAAAACAAGCCATTTTTATTGGGAAGTTTATTTAAAGATTCACTGAAAAGAAAAAATAATATTGAGAATCTCCATGTGCCCATTACCCACCAGCAACACACACATACTTAATTATTTTGAAGCAAATACCAAACTCCATGACATTTCACTCATCAATACTTTATTATATATTCCTAAGGATTCTCAACAAAGATACACTCACCCATAGCACAGTAGTCATATCTAAGTAATTAGGCATTAATTCCCTGGCTAACCTGCTTTCTCTCCGGAGGAGCCTTCTCAATGTCTCCAGTTGATCGTAACTTCTTATCTTCATGTTGGGTCTACTGTGGAAATAGATTGCTTTCCTATTGGCTGCCCTTTCCTCTTGTGGATTTTGCTAATTGCATTCTCTTAGTGTCTTTCGTACTTCGTCACATACAGACAACATTCTCACCTAAACTTCCATCTTTGAGGTGTGGAGTGGCGTTTGGTGCTGTCTTCGGGCCCACACCGGTTAGGTGGGGTCCTGGGCCTGGGGTTTCTCAGCACATTTAGAGAAGCCCTTTGTAGGTACATTTGGTGGTCTTTTCTGTTTCTGTAGCAGCTCACATCAGAGGCTGAGTAGCTCCACGTCATTGTCCCTGGTCTGTCCAAATCTTTCTGTATTTTCCCGTGTACAATCTTACCCTGATGTGCATTGTACTTTCTTCCCACTGATTTTAATGAAAAGTCATCAGTTACAATATGACTGTTCCTGCCTTCTTGTAAAATGTATTTACATGAAAGATCTTTTCCCATCCTTTCACTAAGAATCTGTATTATCTTTGACTGGGAGACAACAAATGGATGGATCTTGTTTTCTGATCCAATCTGCTGCTTTACATTTTTTTGGTCGGGTAATTGAGTCTGTACAATGTTTAAGGTTACTATGGAGTAGGGTGTCAGGATTGCTGCCTTTCTCTTGCTTTCTTGTAATTTGCTTCTTTCCTTTTCCTGTGTTTATTAAACTAATCTTCTAGTGATTTTTGTCTAATGTTGTATTTTCTTAACTTCAATTGTTTTCTTCAGAATGTGTGCTTCCCTTTAGTATTTTTTGTAATGCTGGTTTAGTGCTCATGAATTCCTTTCGTTTTTGTCATGGAAGGTTTTGGTTTGGCCTGCAATAGTGAATGGCAGCTTCGCTGGGAACACTAGTTTGGACTGGCAGCTGTGGACCTTCAAGGCTTGAATTACACCATTCTAGACTCTCCTTGCATTCTGACCTTTCCATTATAATATAGTTCCTTCTTTGATTTTCTGTGTTTAGAATTAATTCCTTTTTTTTTTTTTCTTTTTGGACGGTTGTGTGGCCTGAACCTGAGCCATAGTGCCACTTCCGGTTTCCTGGTGGTTAATTGGAGATAAGAGTTTCACAGACTTTCTTGTCCTGGCTGGCTATGAACTGTGATTCTCAGATCTCAGTCTCCTGAGTAGCTAGGATTACAGGCATGAGCTACCAGCACCCAGCTAACTTGTTATTTCTTAAGTTCAGAGTTTTTACTATGAGGTATCTAGAAGTATTTCTTCTTGGATCCTGTCTACTAGGATTTCTGTGTGACTCTCAGGTGAGTGAGAGTTCTCTCGAGGTTGGGGAAGTTTTCTGTTATTATTACTTTTTTTTTTTTGCCAGTCCTGGGCTTGAACTCAGGGCCTGTGCACTGTCCCTGAGCTTTCTTGAGCCACAGCGCCACTTCCGGTTTTCTGAGTGGTTTATTGGAGATGAGAATCTCATGGCCTTTCCTGCCTGGGCTGGCTTTGAGCCATGATTCTCAGATCTCAGCCTCCTGAGTAGCTAGTATTATAGGCACGACCCACCATGCCTGGCTATCCTCAGCTTTTGATACCCTATTTTCTATTTCACTTTTTTTTTTTTTTTTTTTTTTTGTCGGTTGTGGGGCTTGAACTCTGGGCTTGGGCGCTGTCCCTGTGCTCTTTAGCTCAAGGTGAGTGTTCTACCACTTGAGCCACAGCGCCACTTCTGGTTTTCTAGTGATTTATTGGAGATAAGACTCTCATGGACTTTCCTGCCTGGGCTGGCTTTGAACTGTGATTCTCAGATCTCAGCCTCCTGTATACGCTTGAGCCAACAGCACCCAGCTTTTTCACTTATTCTTTAGCTTATGCTTTCAACTGTCATTTGCAATAGGGAAATTGAGCCTTTCATCCTTTCAGGTTCTTTGTTGAAGTTTGTTCTCAGGGTGCTAATTTCTTTCTTTCTTTTTTTTGGTGGGTCGTGTGCTTGAACTCTGGGCTTGGGTGCTGTCCCTGCGCTCTTCAGCTCAAGGCGAGCGCTCTACCGCTTGAGTCACAGCGCCACTTCTGGTTTTCTAGTGGTTTATTGGAGATAAGAGTCTCACGGACTTTCCTGCCCGGGCTGGCTTTGAACCTCGATCCTCAGATCTCAGCCTCCTGAGTAGCTAGGATGACAGGTGTGAGCCTGTAATCTGTTGATGAGGTGTGTAGCGTTTCTTCTCTCCCTCTGTATCTTTCTGGACGACCTGTATGTTCTTGGTTATTTTCTCCTCGTATACTTCTATTTTTGGATAGTCCCTTTTATTTCATTGGCTAATTCTTTCACCATTGCCTGGTCTTTTTGTCCTTCATCTTCTCTCTCGCTAGGGTCCTTCCCTGCATTGCTGTTGACTTTTGAATTTGGCTTGTCTTGATTGTGGATGAATTTTTTCATCTTCCATTTGGGTTCAGGGATTGTCGGGGGCGTTCAGATTGTGAATTAGGTTCAGTGGTGGTGTGGTGTGACTCACGGGATGGATCTCCATCAGACTGTGTTTGCAGCTCTCAGCTCAGGGCGGTGCCGCTAGTGTAAAGGTCCTGGTCAGTTGTTGGGGCTCTATGAGCTAGAGTAATTCCCTGTTGCTACTCCACCATCTTCCCGGCCAACTCTTGGCTGTTTCCTTTTAGACGGTTAGAAGACATTACCTGTTTGAGGCACCTGCCACACACGAGGCTTCCAGTGATCCTTCTCTTTCTTGGGGCCCAAGGTGGTAGTAAAGTTGGCTGCAGCAGAGACTAGCTCAGACTTCGGGGTTCAGATACCAAGTTGGGGCTTGGGAGTTAACAGGGCTGCCACTTAGCATGCCTCAGTTTCTGTGAGGAGAGGCAGCAGCTCAGAGAACACTCCCCTCCTCCTTTGTCTGCAGGCTTCCTCCCAGGGTTGTAGACTTGCAGCTGAGTGTAAACACATGCAGCTCAGCTCCGTGGGGTTACGCAGCTGACTGACCGGGCTAACCAGAACCGTGTGGTTGGTGGCAAGCACTGGCTCTAGCAGTAGCAGTGGACCTTAAAATGGTGAATGCCAGCCAGGGACGCGGTGGGTGGCAGCGCTGCCTAGCTTTGGGTTCTTGGGCTCCTGTTCTATCAGGATGTTTCCGTCAGGATCCAGGAAAAGCCTGTCTGAAGCCCCGGGCGCCCAGCCGTCGAGGGAGCAGGCCTGGAGCTGGGTCCGGCCAATGGCAGGTGTGGCGGCTGGGTTGTGCCGCGCTGCGTGGGCCTGCAGCTGAGGCCTGCGGAAGGTGGCGTGTGCAGGCGGGCAGCATGCTGTGTTGTGCGTGCTGGAGCCCGTGTGTCCTCTCTGTTGGTTTCCCAGGACCGCTCCAGGGCTGCTTCTGTGGGGCAGGCTGGACAGGTGCCTATGTGCACATGCATGAGGCAGCAGCGTGCGTGCGGCTGAGTCTCCGACAGGCCCAGCCCGGAGGAGGGGCCTCCCTGCCTAGCCTGGGAGTTGTTGTATGGCTTGGCTTCCCTGCTTCGGTTGAGAGGATGACTGTGTGACCTCCGTCCCACCCCTCCGCTCTGCTGGACCCACAGCATGGGACTGAGGCTACCCTACCCCCCCCCCCCCCCACACACACACCCCTTTAGAGGCTGTGCCCTGAGCTCCAGCTGCACGGCCAGCCCTCCCAGTGCCCCCGCCCATTGAGAGAGTTCTCTGTGAGCCGCTTGCATGGTCTGTCCTGGCCTCTTGGTGGGGCTTTTCAGCAGAAGTGTCTCATTCGGCACCTGTGAAGGCCCAGCCCCTCGGGCTGGCTAGCGAGGGTCATTTACAGATGTTCCTGTGCCTTTGTGCAGGTGGCCACAGGAAGACAAGCTGTACTAGCTGTCTAGGATGGACAGTGGCACAGGTCACTTCCTGGGGAATAGACCTTGGAGGAAATCCTTTCCCTACCTGTGAAGTCTGCCTGGGGGAGCCGTGGGGGCGGGCGCTGGGTTACAGAGGTCAGAGTCCTGGCTGCATGTGGGATTACTGAGCATGCTGGCCTACTGTCTGTCAGTGGAGCTTGACTGTCAGAGGTCGGGGTGGAGTGCAGGACAGAGGCCCCGCTTCCTGAGGCCCTTCTCACTGACTTTCAGCCAGGCACTTGCTGGCTCTGGCCGCACATCTGTGGGAGGAAATGTAGCATTTGGGGTTTTGAGGGCAGGATGAGCCAGTCCCCTGGAGTGTTGAGTTCATTATGGACAGCAGCCAGTGCCTGATGACCGGGTCTGCAGAACGAGGCTAGTTTGGCCCTGAGCCTTGTGACGCCAGGGAGAGCAGGCCTAATGGTGTCTCCCAAGCCCTGTGGCGTTGAGCCAGGACCCTCAGTCCCCCATCCATAGGTGGCCCTCCTCATGGGTGCTGAGATTGCCTGCGGGCAGAGAGGTCCGGGCTCACAGGCGCTTGTGCTGCTACTGGGCAC